CCCCACTCCAGTCCCATTCTACCTCCTGATATTTCTTCTCCTATCCAGACTCCGGCTTATGTTCCATCCCCCACTCTAGTTAAAGCAATTTCTATTTCAACTCCAGTATCCAGAAGGAAGAAAAGAAGAGGAGAAGAAGAGGAAGAGGAGGAGATTTCACTTCTCAATGCTCTTGCTGCTTGGAAAAGCAGCACACAGCCATTGCACGCCAGGGCAAAAGCTGGGGCAGTGCCCGTCCTCACTCCTTCGCTGTGCTGTACTCCATGCAGCTAGAGCGAAGCGAGAAGGACGCGAGGAAGAAGAAGAAGGCGTTCTTAAAGTAGCCCCCTGTCAGCAGCCCTGAAAGGGCGCATAACACACGGCGTCTTGCTGCTCTCCATTCTACATACTCGCAGCTCCCTCTGCTCTGGTAGCAACTTTTCCAAGTCGGCAGAGGCGGCCAGATTGAAGAGGCAGTGCCTAGGTTCACCTTCTACTTATTGCACGTAAGCCACTTCCAGCTCCTCGCTGCACTCTGTAGTTCCCTTCTCCGTGGCATTTACCGTGGTGCTCTCTGTAACTCGTTGCCTAGAAGTGACCGCCAATGTTTCCACAGCGGGCTGCACGGGAACCAAGGAGCAGCACAAGCAGCCCCTCCTTCTCAGTGTCTGACTGTGGCCAGACTGAGGCACCAACTGCCCCCACCACGGGCCCTCTGAGGGCCTGGTCTTGCACACAGCTGGGCAGGGGGCTGGGTGGCCAGGAGGAGTTGAAGGATGAGAAGCCCAACCCCATCTCTGAGGTCCTGTAGCACGGACAGATCCCAGGAGCTGCTTCCTTGTGTGACAGTGGCTCTCATGGGACTGGGCATTCCAGGGCTCTGCACCCCTTATATACCCCTCAGCCACGGTGGGGCTCTCTGATGTCACAAAGGTCTCCGGACACCACGGTGTTCCACATCACCAAGGGCCACACCCGGTGCCCCTTCAGCAGCTGAGCCCATTGGAAGTTGCATGGAGCAGTCCCTGGACTTGGGCACTTGTAGCCCTTGGTGTGCATAGTAAATAAAGTTTCAGAATCCTTAATTTCTGTCCCATTCCTTTTCCGTAAGTTCTGGTTTGGTTTTCGAGTGCCACCTTCTCAGCTGGTTACCATTTGTGTCCTGCTTTCTCTCCTGCTTTCCTTTGTCTGATCTTCTTCCTTACCACTGTCTCTCTTTACTCAGGGCAGCTCCCAGCCAAAGACCCTCCTCTAATTTTTTTTCCCAATCCACGAGTTAAAACACAGCCCCGGATGAAGTTATGGAGGCTGGCAGTGAAATAAATGTCACTGTCAGATCTTTCTCCACGTGGGTCTTGGCCCCTTCAAAACTTTGCCTTGAACAGCAGGAGCATCTTTTCCTTGCTGGAAGCTGGAATTGCTGCCCATTGCAGTGCGTGCCATGGATCTCAGAGGGCAATTCTGGAGGCTGCCAGGGTGCTGCTCCTGCTTTGCCTCCCAAGGGAGCTGTGCAGGGGCAAGGTCAAGCTCCAGGAACTGGGTGGGCTCCCAGAGCATCCAGCAAAGGTTGTTTTATTGCATATTCTCCAGCTGGAAGCAGAGGGAATTAGGGAAGGGATTCCCTGACAGAATCCTGGAATGCTTGTGGCTGGAAGCGTGCCCGTGTTTCCATGCAGGGTTAGTATGCCATGAGGGAGAGGTGTGTCTGCCTCAGTGAAGGTGCACTGAGACCACAGGAGGACAACAAACAGGTTTTATTTGACATGGATTTTATTGAACAAGAAATTGGAGCTAGGGACATAGAAATATTTACTATTTCTTCATGTTCATCTAAGTCTTATTCTTTCCCTTCTTCCCTTCTTCTTTCACTTCTTTGTTAACTGCTATTCTATTACTGTCACTATTCTTCTTCATCTTACTCTTATTCTTCTTATTCCTATTTTAATTTTTATTCTTATTTATTACTACTATTTCTTCTTCTTTATCATATTCTTCTTATTCTTCCAATTCTTCTATTCTTCTTATCCTTCTAATTCTTATATTCTTCTAATTCTTCTAATTAATCTTATTCACTTGTTATGCTTGCTGTCATTCTTATTCTTATCCTTTTAAATATTTTTATATTAATAACTATTTTTTCATTTACCACTACTACTATTTCTTCTTTGTCTATCTTCTTATTTTCTTATTCTTATTCCTATTCTCCCTTTTTTTTTTTTTTTTTTTTAACTACTACTACTTCTTAAATTCAACTTCCATTTATTTTGGAAGAAATAGTCAAAGTCCTGCAGTCACATCCGTGGAGTAACACCTCCTGTCTTGCCCGTTCTGGAGCTGAGGCTGTGGGGCCACGTCCAGGCCAAGGCTGCCCATGTGTCTCCCTGGGGCCCTGTGCAGTCCCAGGCCAGCACCATCTGCAGGCCAGCCTGGCACTGGCAATGCACTACTCCTGCGTCTGTGGTTGCAGGCAGGGACAGCAGAACAGGCCCTGCAGTGCCTACCGTGCCCACCGTGCCCGCCATGCCCATTGTGCCCGTTTGAGGCAGCTGCACCATTTGCCAGGGGCAGACTGCCCTGGCTTGGGCCCCTGCTGGGCCACGGAGACTGGGTTGTGCAGGGAGGGATGCGAGGCATGGAGTGACTCTGGTGCCTCAGCCTAGGCCTCCCAAAGGACAGGCTTTTTCAGCCTGTCTGCCTCAACAGCTTTCATGCTTTCGGCCCTGCCACCTTCTTCATATAGCTCAAGGATGCTGAGTTTGTCCCAGTCATCCTCCTTCCTTGGCATGGGAGTGGGCCTAAAGCTGAAGATGCTCATATGTGAGTCAGAGGTGACGTCTTTGCTGTTGTCTTCCTCCAGGGAAACATTCAGATCTTGGCTGGTGGAGTCCCAGTTCATGAGTTCTGCACGGCACAGCTCTGGCTCGAAGCAGTCCTCCCAGTCAGAGAGGTCAGAGAGGTCATGGCAGCTGCTGGCCTCTCCTTGGGACACGTCTGTCTTGGTGTGGTATTCGTAGTCTTCATCGGGCTAAACTGGGGTCTCATCACTCCTTCTGTCTCCCAGGACTAATTCCCCCTCTGACAGTTCCTGCTGCTCACTGGGGGTCTGGTTTCCCAGTGGGCTGGGTGAGAGGCTGGGGGAGCAGCTGGAGCTGCATAGAGCAGGGACTGGACTCTGTGCCCCTGCTGATGGCACCTCCTCACTGGAGGCAGGAGAATGTGCCTGGGTCTCCTGGCCATTCACACTTCTTACCCCTTGCTGGGGCAGCTGTGGGTCTCCTGCCACCTTTTTCCCTTTGGACAGCTCCTGGACTGTTACATTTTGTTGCCACTGGTAGGGCTGTTGCTGTACCACATCTCCACACTGCACCCTCTCAGCCACCATCCGGTGGTACAAATCCCCCACTCTGCATGGGGACACTGGTGGTACCTGTAAAAACTGGTTGACTTCACAGCCTGCCTCCTGTTCCCAGAGGTGAAGCTCTTGGGCCTGAGCTTCTCCCCATTGGGAAGGCTTGACATCCATGGTGGGTTTCTTCTCTTCCGTGATGACAAAGGGCCCCTCCTTCTCCTCAGTGTCTGACTGTGGCCAGACTGAGGCACCAACTGCCCCCACCACGGGCCCTCTGAGGGCCTGGTCTTGCACACAGCTGGGCAGGGTGTCGGGTGGCCAGGAGGAGTTGAAGGATGAGAAGCCCAACCCCATCTCTGAGGTCCTGTAGCACGGACAGATCCCAGGAGCTGCTTCCTTGTGTGACAGTGGCTCTCATGGGACTGGGCATTCCAGGGCTCTGCACCCCTTATATACCCCTCAGCCACGGTGGGGCTCTCTGATGTCACAAAGGTCTCCGGACACCACGGTGTTCCACATCACCAAGGGCCACACCCGGTGCCCCTTCAGCAGCTGAGCCCATTGGAAGTTGCATGGAGCAGTCCCTGGACTTGGGCACTTGTAGCCCTTGGTGTGTCCAGGCCTCTCCCACAGTCCCACAGTGTCCACTGTGCCACGTTTCCACTTGACTGCCTGACCTGCACCCTGCACAGCCCTGCCTTTGGAGAGTGGGTTACTCTGGGCATGAGCCATTGGCCAGATGGATGCAGCCAAGGACTTGTGGGCGGTGGCTCTATGTGCAGCTGCAGGCTGGGGATGAGGGATGTCTCTCAGGGCTCTGCTTCTGCCATGGGGCTCTTGTGGCTTCCCCAATGACACAGGCAGTAGATCAAGCTCCCACTCAGCACTTTTGCTGGGGACAGGGGCACCATGGCAAGATTTGCCCACGCACAGGGACCTGGGCAACTAAGAAGTGGGACCACAAGAATCTCACCAGGTCACACAAGGCTGAGTGCCAGGTGCTGCACCTGGCCCAGGGCAATTCCCGAGTCCTGGATTCATCCAGGCTGGAAGAGGCTTTCAGATCTGTCCATTTGGTGCCACCTGCCTGGCTGCTCCCACACCTCCAGAACATCATTTGGCTGCATCTTGAGCCTTTCCTGGGCCCATGCCCTCTCCCAGCAGGGCTGGCCAGAGGGCAGCACCCCCAGCCTGTGCCTCTGCCCCTGTGGGCCGTGTCCGGGAATGTCCTTGCAGCAGAAAGTGCCAGAGAGAGCCCCGGGCCAAAGAGTCTCTCCCCTGCATGCACTGCTTCTTCAGTGCATTGAAATATTTTCAGTGCTGGAGTGGGCTGACAGGTATTTCCTCATCCCACCCAAAAATAAGTGGATGGTTAGATATTTGAGAATTTTTCTTAAGTTGAGCCTGGCAGGGGGTTATTTACAGGGAGAAGCTGCTACAATAAATCCCGTGATGCCTCCCGAGGGTATGTGTGTGTTTCAACACTCTTGGGCTTTTTTGACACTTCTCAAATGAAAAGAAATTCCTAGGGCAGCAGCAATATTTACCTGTCACCATAAAATACTGTTACATCAGTTGATTTTCCAGTCCATCCAGCTCTTACAGTGGGTATCCTAGCATGTGAAGAATTCTGCATCCTTTTCTTCAGCCACTGTCCTTGTGCATCACCCAGATGTGCTGTTTGCATCTGGGGGGGACAGTAAATATCAGCTCCTGCTCTATGCTGCTGCTGTGGTCTCAGGGAATGTGTTGGCACTGTTCCCCATCCTCTGAGCATTCTCTTCCTTCAATAAATTCTACCAAACCCTGTAAGCTTCTTTAGAAAGAATCTACCAAGTCATTTTATTGCTTTGAATGTTGTGGCTTTGACCCTTTGAATCTTCACCCTTTCGTCCGGACTAGCTCAGATGTTAGGGTGAAGCCTCAGGATCCGCCACATGAATGTGAATAAAAGATAACAAAAGAGGCTCTTTCCTCCTGGGGAGGTTGCAGGGGTTTATTTCTTGTGGTTCCCCAGGAGTGACAGGAGATAGAAAGAGAAAGAGGGCGAGGTCAGGGGGCACAAGTCTTTTCTAGGGTCTGAAAGGGGGGTGGGAAGAAATTGGATCTCAGCCAGCTAGGTATGGCCAGGAGGGGAGAGGGACCAGACCACAGGACATTGCAGGGGTCACGGAATCTACCATTTCCAATACATCTAGGGAGATGCAACAGAATGTCTGTTTTTTAAATGTGTATTTTGTCAGGCCATTGTTCCCTCTTTGCTTTCCTTCTGAGGGCAGGGTCCTGCACAGTCCTTTCCTTCCCGGCTCCAACATTCCACTTGGATTGGTCTTTATTTTCCAGCCTTAGGGAGGCTGGGCTAGAGTGAGAACACCAGCTCTGGTGACTAGTTTCTGTTTGCCTTAACTAGAATTATCAGGTTTTCCCATCAGTCAGAGGAGATACACACCAAAGCTATATTTTTGTTATTTCAGAAACTTGAGCACATAATGCTTAAACACAAATGGCTTTTGGAGATTTGTGTAGGTCAATTTACTCTATATTGGGATCTGATGGTTATTGGTACCCTAATTCACGGAACAGCTGATGCTTTTTTTCTTTTTTTTTAACCACTTGCTTAATAGTTTTTCCTCTTCAACTATCATTTTAATGAGGGAAGAACCTTGTCAGCTGTAAAAACATTTGACTATACTTTGAGAATATGTTTATTTGTTCAAACAAAGAAATACTGTCTCTAGAAAAAGGCTGAGTGGAAGATGAGCACGAGTGATATATTGTGGTGTTGAGTCACATTGTGGCTTTATTTGTGTGAAGGGAAAACAAAATTTTAAATTATTCAGCTTGTGAAGTTTGTAGATCCTATGACAAGACATGTTTTGGTTTGTAACACAGTATTTTAGCATCTGGCCTGAACTGGGGGAGTTACAGGAAAGCTGGAGAGACAGGGGGTGCTCAGAGATTCTGGGATGGGGGTACTGGGATTTCTTCTTGTACATAATTAGTCTTTGTTTAATCCAAACTCACTGCTGCCATTCCCTACTTCACTTAAGCAGTGTGGATCCTACTCTGTAGAGGGAGGTTCCACATCCTCTGTCATGTTTGCCAGGGAGGAATTGGCACTCCCTGGAGTGAGCCAAGTCCAAAATGGCAGTGTCATTATTTGCATTTTTAGTAACCTCGGTTAGGTAAGCACAGTATTTGTCATAATTGCTCTCAGTTTTCAATATTTATCTGCTACTTCTGGCAAATGATTAAACCCCTGAATCTGTTGGGTGTTAGAGATCCCCTTGTTGCATCTCACAGGTATTAATCCAGACGTGCTGTGTAAGGGAAAACTCTAGGAGAACTTGCTGCTTAACATGGGAAAACATATGTTGTAGCTTATGTTTTAATAACATTTGCAATGAGGCCTTGTGGATGGTATAAGGCACTCTACTAAAAAAGAATTAAAAACAACCTTTCTGAATAATGGCTTTTACTTTTGTAATTACATAATTCTCTTGTTAAATCTAACAGTTCTTTTTTTAAGAATTAGTGGAAGTGGTTTAAAGGGATTCCCTCACTATAAGAGATACCTGGTGAGTGGGAAGCACTAACTGCTTTTCAGGTATCCTCAGCATGGGCAGAAATGCATTTAAGATTAAGATTAAGATGCATATAAGACATGTAAGAAGGAAAGAGGGAAGAAATGCTCTGAAGCCACATCCTTTTTTAAAATTTATTTGTTGCATAAAGCTCAGAGTTTTATTACTGCCCTGCCATGCCCTGCCCTGTGTGGCTGCAGAACAGCCCGTGAGACAGGAGAGCAGGAGCTGCATTTTGGGTGCCTTTCCTCTGGGAAAACACAGAACTGGGGGTCACTGATGCTGTGAACTGTGAGGTCTGATTCTCATCCAAGAGATAAAACCATTGACACAATGAACTGCTCCTTGACATCAACACACTTGTTGGGAATCCTCTTTCAAGGCTGCCCTGGATGTGAAGGGTGTTGTTAAAATGATCAGGGAAGTTTTATGAGACTGTATTTATTGAATTGTTATTTATTACCTGCTTTTCACTGGTTATTCTCAGTGTTATTGCATTCCGGCTATTATAGCAAAGAGGTGCAGAAAAAATTGTGGCTGAAGTGTCTCCAGGGGCTCCCTTTGTTAGCTCAGACCAAGCAGTGTCATCTTCAGCTCAGAATTGTAAATGAAATTCCTGAAATTTGGGGGTTTTGTCCAAAGGAACTAAAGGTGAGCACAAGATTTGGTCACCACACCTGTCCAAAGGCTCACCTTGCAGACAGGAATTGTTCTATTTACTGGGATGTCTTTAGGAGGAGAGAGGAGGGTACCCACAAACATATGGAATAGATTCCGTGGCCAGGCCATGCCAGCTTTATTTGGTACATAATGAGCTGTGTGAGGGATTGAATTCTTGCATTGTGGTGCTGGGACTTGGCTTTTACTGCTGTTTTCTTTTCTTTTTCTTTTTTATCCTGGGCCATATGTGGGTTTAGCTAGACTGATTTTCTTGAGCCATCAGAGTTGTGTGGAACAATTTTACCTCACTTGAGCACATGCATGAAGCTGAGTTTGTGTTGATCACTTGAAACATTGGGTTTTTCTTGTAGTTTAATGGTGCTGTCTATATTTCCACCCAGGCCTGAAGCTCAGCATGACACATAATATACTCCTCCATAAATGTACAGTTTAGCAAAACTCATGAAAGAGGCAGGATTATTTATCTAGAAATTATTGACAGAATTGGCCTTTTCTGAAGGGATGGGGTAGTCTCATTTCCTATGTGGCATTCCTAGAGACTTTCTGAAGTCAAACATCTTTTGACCTTTCTCAAAAATTAGTCTGTGTGGAAGCACAAAAGGTGTTAATAAAACAGATTTGTAGCTTGTTTTGAGGTTGGTTTTGATATTTTGTTTTGTTTTGTTGTAAGCCAGAATATTTGTAAGCTTTCTTCATTCCTAACATCTAAGATCAAAATAACCACAGATGTAATCTTTGTATTTTTGTTTTTCTCAGCTAAAATCTGCTCAGATTGTGAAAATGAGAAATAATTGCATGTCTTCCTCTAGACCATTTCTCAGGAATTTGCAAGCCCTTGAACACTTTGAAGATGCTTAGTCGATCCGCAGGTACAAGGATTAGTTGTCTTATTTTCTGTTTTCTATCCCATCAGTCTCTTTAGGAGATTTTATAAAAGCTGTAGAATGAATGAAAGCATAAAAATTAAATTCTAAGTCTAGAATGTTCATTAGTACTTTTGTAGCTTTATAGTATAAAAGGGAAAATTAATTTGATATGTGTTTATTAATCTGTGGTACCCAGCCAGCTGACTTTTAAGTGTAAAGTGGCTAATTTTATTCTTTGGACCTCTTTAACTTGTGAAATAAATTTAGGGGTCTTTTTATATAACTTAATTGAAAGCAGTGGGCAGAGTCAGCAGAACTGTTCTGTCCAGCTGTGACCGGAAAGTCTTTTTCTTCCTGCAGTAATTGGTGAACATACCTCAGGTGTTTGCTGAGAGCCTCGGTTCATGTCCTGATAAACTGAAACAATTCCTGTCACAACAAGCTGACATGATTAATGTGATAAGCTGATATGATTAGTGTCATGATAAGCTGATACAACTGCTGCAGTCTCCACCCTGGACATGAGCATCTTCTCACTGCTCTGCTAACTACAGTTTTTACAGTTTCATAGTTGAATTTACTTTAAGTTATTAACTTTTAATGTCTCTTTTGTCTGCCAAATCTGAACTTAACATCATAATTACTTCATTTAAAGTAATAGTAACATGTGTGCAGGCTTTATTAAATAGCACTGTTTAGGAAAAGCCTCATAATGAAGGAGAAGGCTCGGTTCTGTTTCTGGCCCATCAGTGCTGGGCTAGTGTGGGCGGTTGTGGATTAGTGGGGCTTGAGGTTCAGGGCTCGGGTTTGGGGTTTATTTCGTGTTGATTTTGCGGGAGGCTGAGGGGAATCAGCCGTGGTGGGAAGGAAATGGCGGGAGGAGGAACCGTGAGGGGGAGAAGCCCCTCATGGAGGAGCCTGAGGGATCTGTGGGGACAAAACGGGGCAGGAAGGGAGCAGTAGGGTCTGCTTTTGTTGAGTTCGATCGGCGTGGGACCCGAGACAGAACACTCCATACTCTGTGATCTATGTGACAAAAGCCTTTATTCAGTTTTGACCTCACTTTTTATACCCCTTTCAAATGTTCCCAGGGAAGCGTCTGTGATTGGCTCCCAGGTCAGGCTGCCCAGCCCTCTGACCAATAGCTCTCTGCAGCCAGGGCTGGAACTCATTGGATTAAATCCTTGTCTGTCTCTAATCCTGTCCTGTCTCTGTTCTTTGGGGGCCTGCTTTTTCAGCCAGGCTACTTCTCCAATCAGTAGTCAGATTAGCTGCCTAGTACAGGCCAGCC